TTTTCTTTTCTTCTTTTTTTTTTTTTTTTTTTCACTTGTTCTACTTCTTAATCAGGCTTCGTGTTTTACTCTATTGAATATTTCGCGATTGCTCGTCTCTCACTGTTTTTTTTTCGCTTCGAAGAATCGGAAAACGGCCGGCGTGCGAGATATTGGACGTTCGTCGTTGAAGTCAATGAAGAGAGAGAGAAAAGAAAGAAAAGAAGAAAAAAAAAAAAGATCGACGATACGATAGAACTCGTCACGCCGTAGTCGTTCTCGTCTCGGCACCTTGCACTTTTGCACGGTGGTCCCAATTTGTGTTAAATCATCGCGATTTCGTACTCTGTTATTGCAAACGTTAGACATCGGTACACGCAGTTTCTCATCGTCTCGATTTACAACACGCGCTATACCGCAAAACATAACATTGTCAGGGGACAGTCGAATGACATAAACTTCGAACGAAGTTTTGAGTCGTCTCGAACGAAATCTTTCCTTTTTTTTTTTTTTTTTTTTTTTTTTTTTAATTAAAGGTAACTCGAGAGAAATTGCACGCAACCTTACTTACATAGACTTTGGAATACACTAATCGAACAAAAGAAACAACGTTTCAACGGTAAAATCGGTCGCGAGCGATCTATCGCGAGTTTTCGCCTCTCCCCTTTCATTGTTTTTTTTTTTTTTTTACTTTTTTTATTTTTTTCATTTTTCAATGGTCGCTGTTCTCGCAGTTTTCCACTTACGTAAAAACCGCTGTTCATCAAATTATTCGGCTTATAATTTCTTCTCGTCGTTCTCACTCAATCTCCCATTCACACCGTGAACCATTTCCCTTCTCCGCGACTACTTCGTCTATTTTGACCTATCTACGCGTCTATCTACTTAAATCTGCGTATTCTATACAATCCTGTGAATAGGTATTTAAAAGTACGCGTACCACATAGACCTGTAGCCAGGTTCGATATGAGTTACTCGTTCAGATACGAGGGATTATTTTGTAAAATAGGTATATAATATAATTCTTCGAATAGGCGGTGATAAATATTAACGACGAAGTAACAATACAATATTGCTCGATTTCGTATTGTATAATATATAATATATAATATTTATGATAATATAACAACGTTGTTCGCTCGCGAATAAAGGTAGTCTCCCTTTCCCATCCGACTCTAAATCCCTCTCATCTTCCCTTTTTTTTTTTTTTTCTTTTAATTATTTTTTCTTCTTTTCTTTTTTTTTCCTTTTTAAAGATCTACATAAGAAGGGGGCTCACCGCGCTCGTTCCATACATGTATGCATGTATATGTTTGTATCATATACATATATATATATATAATCTTATATATATATATATATATATATTATACCTATTTATAATTGTTTGTATACCTCTTCTCTGTTAAAGTAAATAATTACGATAGGCCTAACGATCTCGAGTAACAATCATAATTATTACCAACATGCATTTGTCTCTCTAGTTCTCTCTCTCTCTCTCTCTCTCTCTCTCCCTCTCATTCATTCATTCGCTCTATTCTCCCGTTCATCAATTTCCATTCTCATTCTCTCTTTTAATTTCTCTTAGTACGTTCGTCCGGCGAAGCGTCCAAGAATTTTGCAAGCCATCTCTTTCACGCTTCCTGCATCGCTATTTCAATAATAAAAGCAAACGAACAAGCGAAATCGAAAGGAGCTACGCGTAATATATTTCCTTTCTTCTTTGTGCTCGATTCTTAACGCAGCGCGCGCGACTCGAGGGCGATATCTTTTACAATATTTATACAATATCGATATATATATATATATATGATTAATTTGTTAAATTCAGAAAAAAGTTTACATATATATATATAATACGTAGTTATGTGTATCGAAATCATCATGCTTATCGACAATGTACTAAATACGGTACACACGGTACATTCTTGCTTCACTGAATCTACATAAAAAAATCTGCACGACGAAATCTTCTTTTCGTACTCCGTATATATGCTCATTCTCTCTCTCTCTCTCTCTATCTCTCTCTCTCTCTCGCTCGCTCGCTCGTTCGCTCTCTCGTTCCATACGTTTTCTCTTTACTACGAACTAATTTTGATACTACAAAGAGGGGGGATGGGGGATCAACGTCAGCGCTGACAGCATCTCTGGCTCTCTGTCTCTATGCATTCTCTTAAAGCTAAAGAGGTAAGTGTAAAGATGCGAATACTGTTAAGGCTGGCTGACAGCTTAAAACATCGCTCATCTGCAGTGTTGGATCCAATCTGCGGTAACCACGTCACGTTTTTTTCATTTATTTTCAATTCGATTATAAATTTTATTCTTAATTTTTCTGTATGGTTTATACCAATTTAAAAAAAAACAAGGGAAAAATCGAAATCTAAAACGAATAATAATTAAAAATAACGTGGATACACGCAGATCACGATACAAAAAACGGAATGCAACAACGGGGGAATCCCGTGGTGGCACAACGGATTATTCGTTCGTTCGTTCTTTCGCTCGTACAATACAAAGTAGAGGTACTTCGCTTCGTGTAAATACAATAATGTACAATCTTCGATTATTTCTTTGTATTCTTCTTGCTCTCCCTACCGCGTTCGTGATTTCTTTCATTTGGAGTTTAACCTTACAGTGACAACCCCGGCGCGTTAAGCGTGCGCGGGGCTGCAAGAAACGGAATCGATCTACGGTGAGTCGACAGATAAAACGACGAACAAAATTCTATCTACACATTAAACACCTTCCTTCCTTCCCAGTTCTCTCGCACCCTCTCCCCCTCTCTTTTCCCTTCGAAACGACGCGTCTTCTTCGTTGTTTAGATTAATTCAAATCTTCCTCCCTTCTCCTTCTTCTTCTACACATAGGAAGAACCCACCGCATCACATTACGCTCTCTCTCTCTCTCCGCTCCTTTTCCCTCTTCGCAGAATTCGACTTGCTGTCGCGCTAAACGTCCTCCTCCGCGCTGCGATTCGTTCCGGTTCCTCGAGTTCTCGTTGGGGAGCGAGATTGTTATTTCGTTGATCGCACCATGTTCGACGTGGAGCGTGTTATACGGTGTCGAGAGAAAAAAGAATAATAAGCGGATCATACAACTCGATCATCTCATCGCATCTCGAAGGAATCTATATATATATATCTCTATCTATTATCTTTGCCAGCTTTTAAGGCAAACTCCCTCGATCCTCGTCCGATATAACGAACATGGATATATCGCGTACATATATAAAGATATCTCGAGGTTGCCCCTCGTTTAGCACGCTCGCTACGACCTACCTAGCTGCTTCGAAATTACCGCGTGACACGCGCGCGTGTCCCGGCATACGCGCGCGCGCGCGCGCGCACACACACACACACACATACATACGCGCGCGCGTCCATCTAAGTATCGATCTACTGTACACGGATATTTTGGTCGTAACGCTAATAAGTGATAACAAATTATGCGGTATGTATTATCTAGAGGGAGGGGGGGGGCGGGGGGGGATCTCGCTGTGCGTATGTATCGTTCACATGTGCAGCACTCCCACACGCTGTGCGATCTATTCTCCCTTCTCTTTCTGTTATTTCTCTGTGTGTACGTGTGTCTCTGTGTGTGTATTATACGATTGTGTATGTGTATGTGCGCGCGTGTGTATGTATATGCGAGTGCGAACGATGCAGAGAACAAACAGCGTGTGCACGCTCCCGGTACAACTCTTGTTGTCATTTCATTTATTTGTATATGCATTTCTGTTCTCGTTCAATCTGTGGGTAATCTTTAACCCTTAAACAGGCGCACGATACTTGACGCGATACTTTTCGTTTTTTTTTCAGCTAGAGGATTTCTTAATTTTTTTTTTTTTTTGTTATTCTGCTCTTTTTTTTCTTCTCTTTTTCATTTTTTTTTTTTTTTTTTCTATTTTTCTCAATTTACCATTATATAATAATCTCTCCTCTTATTTTTAGAAACTTTTTAGATAAATCGTTAAAAGTGTAAACGCTATATCACGAGAGGAAGAACTTGGATAAACGTGCAATTAAGATGAAAAAATCTTTACTCGTTTATTTATTATTTTTTTCATTTTCATTTGCTCTCTATATCTCTCTCTCTTTTTTTCCTTTTTTTTTTTTCCTCTTTTTTTACCTCTGCGCAAATGCTGCTTGTCGTTTAAAAAACTACCGAATCACTGAATTGACTTGACGACGCTATATCTTCGCGTCGACATCTTCGTTACATGTAAATATTATTCGTAAATAAACTAAATTTTTTTTCACTTCTAACTTTCTCTCTTAAATATTTCTACGTTTAGAGATGAAAATTTGCTCTCTTAAGGGTTAAAGATGAGGTTCGTAGGTGCGATCGAGCAGATTCTTTGAAAAAAAAAAAAAAAAAAAATACACTCGAGGATAGTCGAACGAAATCAAACAAATCAAACAAAAGAACGAAAGGTCGTAGAAGGAAACGGAAATATAGTCGAATAAAGAATCGAACTACAATAACAAAACAAAAGAAAGAAAGAAAGAAAGAAAGAAAGAAAAAAAATACAAGCGATATATTCAAATAGAATTTACTCTTAACATTCGTTGAAAATAAAAGGCACAGCACATACAATGGTACAATTTATTTCCCAGAAGGCAATAACTTTTTCGAGGCGATGATCGTTCGAACAACAATAAATCAATTAACTGCGAGTAAAATTGATATGAATGATCGTTCTACGCGTTTTTTATAAATATATACGCGATTATTATTGGCTAAATTGTAAATCGAAAGAAAAGAAAAAAGGGGAAGGAAAAAAAAAAAAAAAAGAAAGAAAAAGAAATTTAAACGCAGGACGGAAAGAGAACATATCATAGAACGATGTTAATCGCCATATTTGTCAACTCGTACTCTGTACTATAGGTATATACGATGAATACAAGGTGTACATTGTGACAAATAAAGTGGCAAATAAATTAAGTAAGTATATATGAGTACTTAAGTAACGGTATATACGAGTAACGAAAGAGTAATCGATCGTATGTATTACTTGTAGCTGATAGTCCTGGTTTTATTACAAACACTGGTGTTGTTGTTGTTGTGGTTGTTGTTATTGTTATTGCTGTTGTTGTGGTTGTTATTGTAACTGTTGTTGTCGATAGTGTTGTAATTGTGATTGTGATAGTGGTGATGATGGTATTTGGTGCTGTTGGTGGCCGACGGGGTGCAAGTGGTCGAGAGTGGCCTTACTTGAGTAGTTGATGGGCTCGCTCGTTGGCCACCTTTATCCTCGTCTCGTTCGATTCGCCCTGCGTGCCAAAAAAACAACAAACGAAAGATCGTAACCCAAACTTAAACGTGTATCAAAGATCATGTTATTGTCGACCTCGTTAACTTGGATTATACCGCGCTTGCATTTCCTCGCTTACGTCTTTGTCGTCGTCGTCGTTGTCGTCGTCATCGACCATTCCTTCGTTTCTCGAGCTCTTTCGTTTCTTTCGTTCCAAATGTATATAAATTCAGACCCGATCGATGCAATTATCCGACCGAAAGCGAGGATTGGTCGGTGAAAGGCAAAACAGGCAAATTGAATATTCAATGGAGGAGGAGGAGGAGGAAATATTGAACCGATTGAAGGGAATGCTAACAATAAAGGTGAAACAGAGCTCGTATTACGCGAATTGGCGCGACAACGACGAGCGCCACGACGATCCTGTGGGGTTTCATCCGACAAATAAGATTCTAAAAAAAGGTTAAATGTCAATATCATCGTCGTACGTGTGTACACAAGAGATATACTGTATTATGTGTATATATATATATATGTCATAGGTATCCTATATAATTGTCTTCTGCGAGAACGTAAAAAAAAAAAAAAAAAAAAAAAAAGAAAACGAATTGGACGCGACGACAACGCGACGACAAAAAAGATGGCGCGGGTTACACAGAAGGTGTAAGAGAAATTAAAGAAGATATGCGTATATAGGGAGATTGCACTAAGTAGACGAGACATAAAACACACGTAATATATAAATCGATGTAAACCGGAAGGCTCGATGATTTCGTTGTAGCACAAACAGGTGGATCGAGTTGGAGACACGAGTTGGGTTGACGGGTTGGCGATGTCCGACCGACGACGAGAAGGCAGAAGAAGGGGTCGTGGGCGTGTGAGCGTACAATATTTTTGGATATATATATATATATATATATGTATATATATATATACGTTATTTGCGTATATATACATATATATATATATTGTTTTTTTGTTATTTTTTTTTTTTTTTTTTTGTTGACAATTTGGGGCTCGGAGGAGACGGGTACGTGGGCAGAGAGACGCATTTTACTTGAGTAGAGCGTGCGCACGCTGATTCGCCACGGCTATCCTCGTTTCGTTTGACTCGCCCTGCGGATTATCACAGTTTGGATTTGGTCACAAGGTGGCAAAAGATAGAGAATTTTAATTATTTTTTTTTTTTTTTTCAATCGAACGTAAGGAAAGAAGAAACAGAGAAGGAAAAGATAAAAATAGAGAAAGATAGAAAAAAAGGGGCAACAAAGCGTGTGAGATACGGTCAGGATTGACCAAACAGCTAAAGTGCGATAATTTTCCATCTGTTTCTTTTTTTCGTTTCCTTTCTTTTTTTTTTTTTTTTTTTTTTAGCATATATTCTTGCTTTTTTTCTTCTTCTTCTTCTTTTTTTTTTTTTTCGTGATTGCAGAACATGGTTGAACACAGAAGGCACCCCGTGAGGGTGGCAAAAAAGAAGAATGACGTTGGTGGTGCGATGACGAGAAAGGGTTAATTAAAGGGGCGGCTAGTCGTGCGGTGCACGTGCGTACGCATGCCAACGTGAAAACGAACGATCGTTTACTCGTACCGTGTTACTCGAAACAGTTGTGCAGTATATGTATATATATATACACACACACACACACACGTGTACTGTAATTGTTTCATTCGATCCTCGATGATGCAACCATCTCTCTTACAACGATCGTTTCGTTTTTCGATAAATAGAATTTCCGTGCCAATATAAAAATGATGTGTATGTATGTATATATATATATATATACATATGCATATATATATATATATATATATAATAATAAAATAGAGAAGAAAACATGTTTTATCGAATGCTGTCTCCTGAAAGATGAGATTTAAACCCGATTTAGAGATCTTTCAAGTGGAAGACCAATGACTCGAGGGATATAGGGATACGTGAGAGAGAAAGAGAGGGGGGGAGAGGGAAGAAGAACAATGCTACCAAGTGGAACGTATACTCGCACGATACGTTGCCCATCGTCGGCGGCCAGAAGTATAATCGGACATTAATCTTTTGGAGGAGACACGAATTTTTTTTTTCTTCTTTTTTTTTTTTTACTAAAATCACGCTGATGATCCGTTCGGGATGTTTCACGGGATGACGTGAAATGACATCATGCAAATATCATCCGCGTAATATCTTTTTGTCTCTGATCTCTTTGATTCGATTCGGAAAATAAAGTCTGGCAAGAGACCGCCGTACAGGATTTGACCGAGGACGGAATTGCCGAGAGGAGACGAGAAACGAGGACTCGATTCTTTTGGGATCGCGCCAAGGAACGACAAGAGAGAGACATGAGACGGTGTGAGGTAAGGTAAAGGGCATGTAAGAAAGCGAAAGCGACAACGAACGTGTTACGCATCGCTCTGAGCGCGTGCATCGCTCGCGATAAAATAATCCACGCATGCTCCGTGGAAATAAAAAAATATAGCGGAGCTAATTTTGTACGTATTTGTAATCATCATTTCAATCAACTCGTTCGATCTTACCTCGGATCTTTCTCTCGTTCCAATCGCGCAAACGATCGTTACAACGATCTTTTTACTAGATCGATAAGACTATGCGTATATAACTCGATGCTTTACGAAGAGAGGAAGAACCGAAATAGATCCATCCAATTTCGTTACGTATTTCCCAAACTCAACTCCGACCCGTTTCCTCACCTTGCGATTGATCCTGTCGATTTGCCGATTCTGATTCTCCAGCTCGCTACCCATATCGATCGCCATGTTTCTCAGATTACCGATCATCGTGTTCACCTGGCCCATATTCTCCTCCATCTCCGTTTCACGGGCATCGTTCGTGATCTTGGCGATATAACCGCCCTGCGGGCCAAGCCCGTTGCGATCGTCCATCACCCGTTGGGGCTGGTTGTTCACCACCTTACCGTCGTCGTTCCCTTTCCACGTGCCTTCGTCCTCCTTGAAGCTGGCGCCTCTGTGCAACGAGATCGTTTCATCAGCGTATGCACGAATATGTATACACGTTTGGAAAGCAAAGACACATTAAAGACATCGAAGTATAGCAGTATCGTATGCTTCAAACATTTTTTCGTTTCTCTTAAATGTCAATCTCTCAAGAGCTGAGAGTTGGAGAGTGAGAAAGAAAGAAATGTCTTTTTTTTCTTTTTTTAATGTACGAAAATAAAGGTTGAAGCGAGGCGTTAATGTCGAATGCTCGACATTATTAGAATTGTTCTGTGTTTGTTGAGAGTGTGCTGGAAATAAAGAAGTTCGATTTGTTGAGAAAAGTGTGAGAAAGGTAAAGAGGGGTGAAGCGATTTCGGGACAGCCCTACTTGTTGCATGGAAGAACGCAGAGGCCGCAGCACTTTTCCATTCCTGTGAGATTTTTCTCGGCCTCGCGCATGTCGGCGTTGATTTGGTCCATACCCTCCTCGATTCTGTCCAGTTGTTCTGTTTCATCGTACGAAAAAACAACGTTAACATCCAACCTTGTCGGTATTTCCAACAAGAGTAAGTATCTCGAAAGAGAATGGACAGCCGGCGTGAAAATAAAAATTCCACGGTGTACGCTCTACTACGTTTTGCTTGTAATCGAACACAAATTTATTTATGCTAAAGAAAAAGAAAAGAAAAAAAGAAAAAAAAAAAAGAAATTGAATTACACTCGAGAAAGGAGAAAGGAAAAAAGAGAAAAAGAAACAGGGGAATAAATACGCTGTCCCATTCCCTTTCGAGAATTATATATATTTGTTCTCAAAAATTGAAGTGAATCGTCATTTCTCAAGTTATCGAGGAACAGAGAGTACCATTCTTTCAATCCTATTGTTCCTATTTTTCTTTTTTTTTTATCGATAACGAATCGCAAAATATTCTATGTTCACGCCTCTATTCCTTGATCCTAAATGACGATTGGTGGTTTTTAATAATACTTTACGAGGATTCATCGAGAGATTCGTCCTATATACAATTGTGCAAACGTTAACGTAGATAAAATTTATCACGTTATCATCCATCCAGCTCGAATTACGTTGGAAAAAAAAAAAAAAAAGCTGTACGTTAAAAATACAAATATATATATATTTATACCTCGCGTTTTATTTAAATTAAATTTGTCGAAACAATTTCTCTCTCTCAACGATCCTCGGAAAAGAAAAAAACGAGTGCAACGAAAGTGCAACAGCTAAGCAAAGAGTCTCCCTACTAAGGGTTAACCTAAGATCCTAAGATTTGGGTGAGTAATTCTGTATGTATTTGGGGTGTACGGTGGATTCTAAGGGTACTGGGTACGAATTGAACAAAATATTATATTCACGTTGAGAGTAACGCGGTGATGCAAAATGTGCCGGTCAATAAGATAACAATAGTAATAAGATTGCAATAGGTTTTGACTTACACCGTGCCGGAAGTACCGGAAGGGATGCGTTTAAACGTGGAGCGCGTGTCGTGCGACCCGATTACGTCTGTGTCTCTTTGTGACGTTAATTTTTTTTTTTTCTTTTTTTTTTCTTTTTTTTTTTTTTTTTTTTTTTTTTTTGGTTTCGTTCTTACTTGTTATTCTGTATTTCTGTATTTCTCTTGTTTTTT